CAAGAAAAGCGACCAACTTTGGTCTCTATTTGGTCGCATTTCACTATAAAAAAATAATTTTCTAGGCAATAGTGACCAACCTTGGTCGCTACCTGCCCAGATTTGTATTAAAAAAATACAATTTCTGGAAATATAGCGACCAACATCTTTAAAAAAAAAATGAAATTCTTGAATTTAGCGACCAACTTTGGTCTCTATTGTCCAGATTTTAAAATATAATATTTGGATTAGAGACCAAAGTTGGTCGCTTTCTAATGATTAATGATAAATTAAAAACAACGTATTTCATATGTAGAGACCAACTTTGGTCGCCAAATTTATATTATTAAATTAATATAGCGACCAAAGTTGGTCACTAAAGTCAAAATCAGAATATTTGGCCCTTTTAGCTTAGAGACCAAAGTTGGTCGCTAAATAGCGACCAACTTTGGGCCCTAAATAAAAGGGACCATCAATATAGCTATCAGGCGTGTTTGGTCGCTTTTTGGGCCATAAGCGACCAACTTTGGTCGCTTTTTGTGGTCGCTTTTTTCCGGATTTCTAGTAGTGGGATGAGCAAGAGTCTAAGTGTGGGGTGTTGATGTTCGGCCAAAAATGCATATATTTACCCATTGTTATCTCATATTCTAGTACTTTTAATCATTTATTGAGTGTTAATTATATAACTTTGTGGTTAATATTATATTTTAACTATGTAGGAATAAAGCGGTGTAAAGATAAAGAGATTTGGAGCAAAATTAAAAAATATGGAAGAAAAAAAAGGAAAAAAAGAGATGAGACAAAAAAGTAGGACATCACCATTATCCTCGTGATTACATACTAAATAAACAACAAATACAAAGAGGTGAATTGAAGTGAAGGAAGGAATTGGAACGTGAAGACGTCACTGTTTTCAGCGCCGGGAACAACGCCTAGCGCTAGCCTGGATGCTGTGTTGCGGGATTTTTTTTTTGTTTGTTCGGGACAAGGTTATTTCAGCCCAAGATCTCTTCAACTCGTATAAAAGAAGTTCTAAACCTATTTTGGAAGAGATCTAACACACTTTGAAAGAGAACTCACGTAGGGCAACACACACCACGCTTGGAGGAGGCTTTTAACTAGTTTTTCTTCTCTTCTTTTCCTTTAATTTCATAGTTTCTTAGTTTTAGAGTTTTGGGTGCTACATGAACGTTGTCGTTTGAAACTTGAATTGTTTTTATTATTTTATCATATCAGTTTATTTATTCAATCTTGCGCTTAATTATTTGATTGTTTGATCACCAATTGAATACTATCTACGAATCTAGGATTGAACTTGGGAGAGGGAATTCTAGATTACATATAAGATTGAGTAGAGCAAGATTTTAACTCTGAGGGGGAGCCGATTTGCGATTAGGATAGGAATATACTTAATCACCTTGCTTGGTTACTATACAAGAATTATAAATGCGTTCTTGTTAATTCTAATTCCATAGGAATATAGGCGTTAGATTGGCTTGAATAGGCGAGTTGTACTTCGGGAGAAGGCTACGAGCAATATTAACCTGTCAATCAATAAACCAGATAAATTAATTAGACGATTTAAGTGAAAAAACTCAACGGGATTGTTAGTTAACCCATAGCTCTAGAATATCCACTCACATTAAATTTGTATCTATAATTTGCCAACTTGTTTTCTTTAATCTCTCAATTTGTTACTCTATATTAAATTTTAGTTAAATATTCATACTTTAGAATTCACTCGAATAGATTAATTGTTTAGGTTTAATTTAGTTGATAGTTAATCACAAGTCTCTGTGTGTACGATATCTGGACTTACAATCCTATATTACATTTCGACCACGTATACTTGCATGTACATTTGGTAGCAACAGCTAGCATGTCTAAAAGGCATCCATAACTTGCTACTACCTACTAGTTGTCACATGAAACTACTATGGTATACAAATAAAAGCTACGTAACCACGGCCCTTGATAGGTAGAGTCGCTCGATATTTATGCTGGTAAGAGATTAATTGTGAAATTAATCGCCGAAGTGCATGCAAGTTGACCGTAACATTACCGTTATAAAAAAAGAAAATAAAAGCTACAGAAGCACGAAAAGAATTTAAAATTCGTTTGTTGGTAAACTTATTATTAAAATGCCATAATGAATGGTAGTTAAATTTCTCTCTATAAAACTATAGTACATGTCCAACTAATCAGACTCAAAGACATTAAGACATCTTTAGTCAAGATGAGAAAGAGAACAGGCAAAGTCTTTTTCTCAGTCTCTTCTTCTACTTCCTCTTTCTCTTTCTTCTTCCTATGTTTAGGTATATTTTTTTGCATGGAAATGGCCAGGGCACAGAACAGAAAAACAGTTCCCATAAATGTTGGAGTTGTGATGGACATGGATGAATGGGTTGGGAAAATGGGTTTAAGCTGTATTTCTATGGCTTTATCTGACTTTTATAGTTCTGATCATGGATCTGATTATAAGACCAGACTGGTTCTTCATACTCGGGACTCGAAGAGAGACGTTGTTGCCGCTGCTGCAGCAGGTAAGTTATTTATATATACTAATATACATATACCACTACAAGAAAATAGCTTTTTTCCGACTACTAAAATAGTTGGAAAAGTACCTATTTCGACTACTAAATCAGTCGGAGAATGGTACCTCGGAAAAACATTTCCAACTACTGAGATTTAATTTCCGATTATAGTAGTCGGAAACTTTATTCTGCTAAAAATTCGAAAAGGCGGGTATATATTTTCTGACTAAAGTAGTCAAAATGATATTTTTTGGAAATTTACAATAAAATTAATCCGAGTAATTTTCCAGTTAGAGTAGGCTAATTATACTTTAGTTTCCCGGTTACCATATCATACTCAATATGAAGAATTAGCTATTGTTATAGGTAAACTTAACCTGAGTGTATAAAAATTCTTTGTATCATATATTAGTGCACAGATCGTAAACTCATATATTGTTATGACTTTATCATCCACATGAACCTAAATATATCTCTCTCTTTGGGATAAAAAGAAACTTGAAACGAGAACTTTAAGTTTCACAACGAATGGAAGTTTACATAAACAATTAAAGGCGGAGTCCGAATTTCAATAATTTTACTATGAGTATGTATTTAATGAAGTTTTTTTTACACCAATACATTGTTTAACCAGATGTTACCGAATTTGACTGAATTCCGTATCTGAGCTTCTACCTTTGAATAATATTTGAAAATGAACTTGTTTTAAATCTCTCCGGAAAGAAATTTCTAAATATCACAAGAATTATATGTGGAAGACTTTTATACGTTATAGTGCTATTCATAGTTTTCAAAATGCTTTTCTTTTCTAATTAACGTTAAACTTTTTAATTGCACCAAGAATTTCAAACTCAAGAAAACTTCATAACAGTGTACGTACTAAGTCAGTAGTAATCTACTCCATGTAAATGATAAGTATATCTTTATTTCCATTAAATCAAGAACTATTTAAAGAACTTTTCATATCAATACACTCGACAATGACAATTTATGATCTTAATCAGCTAATGTTATTCAAGTGGCCTAGATTGGTACACGTATTATTAAAACTTTTTTAGTACTTAAATACTAGCTAATCCTTTTGATGTTGACTTTCTGACTTTGTCAATCAAAACTTAAAGAATTAAAGAGTAAATACTAGTACTAAAGATTTTATAATAGGAGACGACAGGAATATCTTGATAGAGTGGTACTGGGCGATATTTCTTGTTAGTCCAAATTTTAAACTTTTAATTAATAACTTAAGCAAGTTGTTTACAGAAATAGTGTCTCACACAAGATTTTCACCAAAGAGATTTAAAGAGTTAAAACAAGAAACACGTAAAGAAGTCAATGAAATTCAACATACATGAAAAAATCTAATATATATATATATATATATATATATATATATATATACACACAATATTATCTTCCAAGAAAAGGATTTCTAATTCGGGCAAACCCCTTTCACCCTCCTAAATCCGCCCATGCACATAAGTGATAATGGTATAAAGTTGACATAATCTTTTCTGAGTATATAATTGGAAATTAACATAGTTATATGTAGGTACATGCGTTGGAAACGTATGGCAGTGACTCAGTAATTCTAATTATATGGTTTCTTTTTGAAACATATAAAAATGTCAGGTTCGGTAATTTCAATATTCTAATGTAAAAAAAACTAATATATCACCCTAATCATAGTATTTTGNAACCAATAATTTACTACTAACATTTTCTAGCTAATACCATAGAAAACTTTGAACGACCAGACTGTCGGTTTGAAAAGAGGACCCGTAACTACTTATGACACAAGTGAATTTATAAGATAGGAGTATTATTACTTTTAGTCCGTGTCAGAAACTATTTATATTTGGTAGTCAAAAAAGTATATAATTTTTGTATATAATATATATAAAAATACACAAATTTTATATATTTTTTAAGCTATTATTTTTACAGCGGCTATACAGTGTCATTTTTCCTATAAGATAATGACCGTAAAAGATTCTTGATCCCTCCACCCTTGATTAAAAAATCTCGAGTTCGAGTATTGAGAATAGAAAGAAAAAAAAAAGGCCCCCCATCTTATACCTTGCGAATCCGAATTAGTCGGATCCCCGGGTACTAGACGGGGTGGAAACAAAAAAATAGTAGCTAGATATGAAAAATACGTTGGTGACATGGCAAGAACAGTTCCTTTGGTCCAGTGCTTAAGCATGCAGGTGCATGTATGAACTAATTAGACAGACTGATATATAATACCATATAACAAATAAAGTACATCATATTATAGCAAATGGTATTGTATTTTAGGTAAGTTGACTATTAAATTAGGGGAGTATTTTATATGTCGAAAATCTAGCCTTAGCTAACTAGAAACAGGTCTTTCTAGATTCCCATGGTGAATCTTGCTAGCTAATTAGTACTATACTAGTACAATAATACAACCCCAGAACAACTTGTTTTTATTTATATAATTGTGGTGTTCGGGTCAATTTATACACACCTCGATTAATTTTAAGGAATACACAAGTTTCTCTTCTTTATTTTGATCTTCTTTGAAATCTACTACTCAGAGATACTTTTATTGGACTTAAATTGCATGCACTGGCAAGGTAATTTTTTATATTATTAGTGTAATTTAACTGTAGTAGTAGATTATCTGTTTATTTTCCAGATTAGTAACTTCAGTTAGTATGGATAATTACTGGTAGTTACCTTTTAAGAGCCCTAATAATGCAAAAATTCTGGTTATAAAATACGAATAGCGTGAAGAAATTACATGATCAGTATAAGTTTACCTTCTATAATGTCATTTACCATGTTTTGTATATTAACTAAAATATTTTCTTTCATGATTGCTATTGTATAAAAGTTAAACTCTACTTTTATTGATTCTTGCATTCTTTGTAAATGCAGCGCTTGACCTATTGAAAAGTGTAGAAGTTGAAACCATAATAGGGCCATTATCATCAATGCAAGCTGATTTCATAATTGGTTTAGGAGAGAAATCTCAAGTACCAATCATCTCATTTTCAGCTACAAGTCCTTCTCTCTCATCATTTCGTAGTCCATATTTCATTCGTGCCACTCAAAACGATTCCTCTCAAGTAAAAACCATTAGTTCCATTATTCAATCTTTTGGATGGAGAGAAGTCGTCCCTATATACGTCGATAATCAATTTGGAGAAGGAATTATACCATTCTTGGCAGATGCATTAGAAAAAATTAATGCACGTATCCCTTATCGAAGTGTTATTCCTGAATTCGCTACGGATGATCATATAAAATATGAACTTTCCAAGTTAATGAGTATGCAAACACGGGTTTTTGTTGTGCATATGACAACTTCACTTGGTACCAAACTTTTTACCATGGCCAAAGAACTTGGAATGATGGGTGAAGGGTATGTTTGGATTATTACAGATGCTATGGCAAATGGACTCACTTCTGTGGATTCTTCGGCCATTGAAGCCATGCAAGGAGTTATTGGAGTAAAACCTTATGTTCCAAGAACTAAACAGCTTGAGAATTTCACTACTAGATGGAAACTGAAGTTTCAACAAGAAAATCCAACAATTCTTAATGCAGAACTGAACGTGTTTGGACTATGGGCTTATGATTCAGCAACTGCACTAGCAATGGCAGTGGAGAGATCAAGAATCACTGGAGCACCTTTTCGGAAACCAAATGTTTCAGGTACAAATAGAAAATGGACGGGTTCGGTTAAATTGGACAGTCAAATCAATATAACGGATCATGACCTAATTTGGACCAAGGTTTTCTTGGGTCAAAAGGAGTTGAGTAAGATGGATCAGATAACAGGTCATATAATCCAACATGCCCGACATGGTCCAACCTCCCCTTCTTTTTCATTTTGCTGTTTGAAGAAAATATGAAAGTTAAAAGTATTTTTCTTAAATTATTAGCTTAAGTTCTTCATATTTTACATAGTTCTGAATCTTCAAAAATTATTTGTATCTTTAGGTTACGTTACTCTATTTAACCTATTTTGACATAATAGTCTGATGGGACATTTTGGGTTTAACGGTTCAAACAGTTCGATCATGCCAATAAATGGGTCACAATCCAAGTTTGATGGGCCATTTTGGGTTTATCAGTTCAAACAGTTCAATCAAGCCAACAAATGGGTCATAATCCAACCCGTTTAAACTTTGACGGATTGGGCAGGTTAAAAAAATGAATTGATTTTGCCACCTCTAAAATTTTCAGGAAATGCAACAGATCTTGAAGCTTTTGGAGTTTCTAAGGATGGTCCAAAGCTTCTTCAGGCTATACTAAACATTACATTCAAAGGCCTTAGTGGAGACTTTCAAATTGTTGAAGGGCAATTGCAATCACCAGCTTATCAGATAATTAATGTGTTTGGCAATGGTGCAAAAGGAATTGGTTTTTGGACAAGAGAAAATGGGATTGTTAAAGAATTGAATTTGAGAAATACAAACAATGTATATTCAATTTCTAAGGCTAATTTTGGCTCTATTATATGGCCTGGTGACACTACTTTTGTTCCTAAAGGTTGGGTGATTCCAACAAATGGGAAGAAATTGAGGATTGGAGTTCCGGTGAAAGATGGTTTCAGTGAATTTGTGAAAGTTACAACAGATTTTACTACTAACACAACAACAGTAACCGGTTACTGCATTGATGTTTTTGATGCAGTAATGGCAGCATTACCATATTATGTTCCTTATGAATACGTTCCATTTGCAGCTCCGGGAAAGTTTACTGAAAGTTATGATGATCTTATTTATCAAGTATTTCTTGGGGTAAATCTCTTAGTTTCCCTTTTTTATCTTTATTAGTACATTTGTATCTTTGAAACCCATCAGAAAGGCAGTGCAAGAAAAATCATACCAAAATGATGGAATTTTTAGACGCCCCAAAAGATATGAAGTGTTTGCAAAGACAAGGACTTGACTTCTATCGATGTGAAATCCATTCTATTTTTCGGATGTGCATGTCGTCCCATCAACCTACTCTACCTTAGAATGCGCTGGAGAAAAAAACTGAGCTCCTTCCTTATTTTTAAGGTTTCTTTTGTTACTCCACTAAAGAGCCTGCACTTCATCTTTTATGTTAAGATAAATACGTTTCTTGCATATTTTAACATGTTGCTAGTATTAACCAATGAGCAGAACTTTGATGCTGTTGCAGGGGACACTACCATTGTCTCGAATAGATCGCAATATGTTGATTTCACATTACCATACACAGAATCTGGAGTTACGATGATGGTGCCAATCAAAGACGATAATAGTGATAGTGCATGGGTATTCTTGAAGCCATTGACTTGGGAGCTATGGTTAACAAGCTTCTGTTCTTTTGTTTTCATTGGTTTTGTCATTTGGCTACTTGAACATAGAGTTAATGAAGACTTCAGAGGACCTCCTTCTCACCAAGTTGGCATGATCTTTTGGTTTGCCTTCTCAACTATGGTCTTTGCACAAAGTAATTTTTTCCCTCCTCCTTAGCACTTTCTCCTTCCATTTTATATAATACTCTTTTCTTTTTAGTGGTACCTTTCTATATTTGAAATTTCTTTAGCTTCAACTTCTCATTTTACCTATAGTGACATGATCTTTCGATCATGTAGATGTCATGGTATGTTTAAGCCTTTAAGACCACAAGTTGACACTTTTGATATATGCCAAAAGTCTTTCTTTATTACTTAACCTTCGTATCCAGTCAAATACTATAGTTTAAATGAAATAGAGGAATGTATACAAATTGGGAATATTGAGGAGTATCTAACTACTCTCCCTATACATATATAGAGCACATACTTCAATATGATTCAAACTTCTAATCTGAATTTTCTCCTTTTTGATTCTTGATAATGGCAGAGGAGAAGATAGTAAGCAACTTGGCTAGGTTTGTGTTAGTTATCTGGTTCTTAGTAGTACTAATATTGACGTCAAGCTACACAGCAAGTCTTACATCAATGTTAACAGTTGAAAAACTCCAGCCAACTGTTAGAGATATCAAAGAACTTCAGAAGAATGAGTATGTGGGCTACCTACAGGGTTCTTTTGTACCGGGACTTCTAAGGAAAATGAACTTTGACGAAGACAGGCTTAGAGAATACAGCAATCCAGAGGAATGTGTTGATTTACTCTCTAAAGGTAGTGCGAATGGTGGTGTTGCTGCTGTTTTTGATGAGATTCCTTATGTGAAGCTTGTCCTTGCAAATTATTGCTCGAAATTTACCACCGTTGGACCTACATATAAGGCTGATGGATTTGGCTTTGTAAGTAACTCCTCTTTTCTCGATATCTTTTTGTTGTTTAGTACAAGAATCACAGGCAGAGGCAACCTAAGGCGGTAATATTATGATTTCATCATTGTTGTGATTTTCATCTAGGTCTTCCCAATGGGATCTCCGCTAGTACCTGATGTTTCAAGAGCAGTTTTAAGTGTGACAGAAAGTGAAAAGATGGTACAAATAGAGAAAGCGTGGTTTGGGGAATCTACTTGTTCAGATTCTAGCACTTCACTTTCCTCCAATAGTCTTGGCCTAGCTAGCTTCTGGGGACTCTTTGTCATAGCTGTGGTTGCTGCAATTTTGGCTCTCCTCATCTTTCTGACAAAATTCATGCATGAGTATTGGCACATCATAAAACGAACTAATCTTTCGCTCCGTGAAAGAGTCAGAATCTTGGCTAGAAAGTTCGACAGAAAAGACTATAGCTGTCATACTTTCAAGAAGAGTGAACTAAGAGAGGCAATGAGAGATTCAGCATGTATGGATTGTTCACAAAGTCCACATGATAACTTGTCAATGCTATCTTCCCCACGAACGAATGGACCACCAAGTCCAAGCATTTCTAGTTATACAGAGCAGAGTTTTCATTTTCCAGGAGAGGTAGGAACTCCTCCTTTACATGAAGAGAATGTAGCAGTTAGTACTCAGGAGAGCGTCATTGAGTTGGCTGTTGATCTAAGTGCAGGACATTGATGTTTTCTCTTTTCTAGCTTTTGATTTGTATATTGGTGTAGAAAGGGATTATGATGGTTTTAATATTAGTAAGCCTCTAACATCATCTTACATAGTATCAACCTCATTTTTACTTCTTCCACTGTGCAAAAGAACAAATCAGATAATATTAGAGCGATTTGAGAACAAATCAGATAATGGTAGAGCGATTTGATAAGAATATCCTTGTACTACAACTACAGGCTCAACGCCTTAGCCATATATAGAATCTAATACTTTCTAACACGTATCTCGTCATATATAGAATTTATCGTCTATGTAGTGTCTCAGGCTACTAGGATACAACGTAATTCACAACAGGTCACAAGTAAGAACAAGTAATTCACATAAAATCTCATGTACAAGTAGTCAAATTACACATAGTACTCAACAAATAGGAGCACATAAACAAATACTAGAAATAGAGAGGGTTCCCACTCACCTCAAGCTACAACTATGGCACCCGAGCCTCAAACACGATCTCCCATGTCATCCTGTAGTATTTGTTAATCTAACAATAACACAAGATAATCCATCAATTCGAGTCATAGGGTACAAGGATCAACCAAAAACCCCAAAATCAACCACACTTAAGCCTCCAGTACTAACTCATCATCACTCAAACAGCTAAAATACACCAATTGAATGGATTCCACAATTAAAACTCATTTATAATGTTAATCAACTCTATTATCAGAAATTATAAGGTCCGCCAATTCAAAACCCTAATTCCAATTTCTCCATTTAATTATCCAAATTCTAACTTTTATTTGAAACAAGAAATAATTATTTTGGTATATAAATGACAAGCAAGCAACGAAGAGAGAAGAGAAAACTAAAGAAAATGGAAAGCTTACTTACGGGTGCGTCAATGGCGAGAAAAGGGTATGGCGGAAGGCAAATTTGTTTGCCTGTGTATGAATTTCGTCGGCAACTCAAACCCGTCTACCCTTTCTTTAGCTTTTCATTTTTGTTTGAAATTTCCCTCCCGTAGCCCCGTTCGCGCGTAATAACCTCTATTTGCATAAATAACCTGTCGATTAAAAGAATTAACCCAAACTTTAGCATACGGGGCTGAGCTAGCAAAGACAATCACGCAAAACTTCAGCATTCTAGTAGTCGGGCGTAGCATTCAAGTAGTCGGGTCTGATGTTCAGATCTAGAGCTGAAGTTTTTGTTTTGTAACTGGCGAACAGTTTTTGTTTTTGTAACTGGCGAACTTCAGCCCCGTATGCTGAAGTTTTTGTTTTGTAACTGGGGAACTTCAGCTCTAGAGGTGAAGTTTTTGTCTTTGTAACTAAGTTTTTGTTCTATATTTGATTAACTTCAGCATGTTTTATGCATGGTAAATTGCAAAAATATTGTTTCTCTGTGCTAATTTGCTTTCTTTTATTCGACAGTTCAACTTCGGGTGGGCTGTTCCCTCCGGCAGCATTTGGACCTTTCAGTCCGACATCTCAGAGTTCAACGATTTGAGCGTCTGTTATATGTATACATTGGCTGTATCACTATAAGAAAACGGACAACTTGCGGAGGTTTTATTGAGGAGGTTTTCACTATCTCCACAAATTGTATCAATTTGGGGAGGTTCCTTTAAGTGACACAAATAAGCCTCTGCTACCCTAAAATAAAAAAAGAGCGCCTTTATTTCCGCCCACATTTTCCCCTTTCCCTCCTTTTCCCAAACCCTTAACGCCTTTAACCCCTTTATCTAGAAACTTCCGCCTTTAACACCTCTTCCCCCCCTCCACTTTTAGGATTCATCCAGTTTTGTAAATTGGATCTGGTAAATCGGTAAGTTTCATATGATTTCTTTTTCGCGTTTTGATTTCTTATTTGGTGAGAGAATTTAAGTTCTAGTTTGGCTTTGTAAATTTTTTAGATGTTTATGCTCTTCGATTTTACAGAGTTTATTCAACTAATATTCTGGTTTGAGGATACGTATAGAATTGCAACTTATTGTTTCTTTGTGCTATGGTGCTTGAATGTTCGGAAGAAAGGCCTTTTTTTATACTTTTTCCCAATTTATTAATATCTAGCTCTCTCTATGCCTATTTTCTTTCTTTTCCACATATGGCTAATGACTGAATGCATGTATTCTCATTAGGAACTTCAGCCTCCATCAACGTTTGTTTGCTACTCTAGTAATTTATTAGATCCTCTTTTGCGCTAGTTGTCTAGTTAGTATTATTTCTATTTTTTCCTCTTCTCCAGAGTCTCCATTAGATGATTGAAAAGTTATTTTTTTGAATTGTAGAGATCTAATCTTATTTTAATTTAGATTGAGTTGTAGTTGTTGTTCATGGCCTGCTTATTTCTCACATTTGATTGAGTTTAGCAGCTTTAACTAAGAAATGTTTTTCTGATGAAAGTGAAGCGAATTAGAATCAAGAGAACAAGAAATATCTAGCTTTGGGTGTTTATCTTTAAACATGAAAATTAGAACTTTGTTATTTAAGAATGAAAAAATTAGATTAACTGTTTAACAATCTAAAATAAATGGTTACTATGGCTCTCAACAAATTACTAGTTGCTACTGCAAGAGAAAAATGGGCATTTGCAAATAGAAATATTCTTTTAGAGAACTTTGTAAGCAGTTTGCTAACTTGATTATTTGGAATCCTTTTCTCATCATCTAAAGAATAGAAGTTATGAAAATATGATTCTTAGTAAGCATTTCGCAAACTTGATTCAATGGAATTTTTTTTTCATCACAAAGTCATTTCAGATGAATTCTAGATAGAGGGAAGAATTATAGTGAGTTATAGTTATGACAATAGGATTTCTATTTGAAGATACTTCAAATGCTTTAGGCTTTGATGCAACATTAGCTAAAGAGATCCTAATCAATATGACCTTCTTGATGTATTTCACTTATGTAGACATTGGAAATTGGTCTGTGAATATCGTGCTTTACTTTACATTCTGTTATATTTTATATTCTATTCCTTATTATTTCGTTACTTGATTGTAGATAATATCTAAGACTACGCATTTAGAACTTGCAAAAGTCAGTTTAGTGGACGTGAGTCTATACATCATTGTTACCTCATTTATTTTATTTTACTGATTAAATAAATTTATTATGTAATTATTCTTCTAGTTTAGTGAAGTTATTTGTACTTAATTTATTTTCATACCTAGATGGCTGAGACTAAGACAGGGATAAAGCCAGGACGAGGAAAAATTTGTCTTTCTACACATAAGAAACTGTATTGGGAAAATTGAGTTTACATAGTGAAGTGATTGGAAGATGATGTGTCATGACACGGAGGCTGGTCAAAGAGTGATGATTAGCAAAAGAGGCACGAGTTGCAATAAATACGAGCAGAGGTATAAGTAGAGGCACGAGCAGTTATTCAAAAGACTCAGCGCTCGTACCTATTTATACCCAAAAATCAAGAAGAATGAATCTGACAGCACAAGAGAGTACAGATACAATAATTAATAAGCATTAAATACTAAAAACATTAGAGAATCTGATTAAATTACAATGATTATGTAATGTAGCATTTAATGCCTTTAATTGTCTATAGTGGCCTTATTATGACAAAGACAAAACGTATATCTTTGAGATAGCTATAAAAAGGAGAGGATGAATCATTTGTAAGGACATAATAGATCATCTGAATACACTGGTTTACTTTGTTTTCTTCTGCTTATCTGATTGTTAGCAAAAATCATTTCCTTTTACTTATTTTTTGATTATCAGTAACCCGAGTTTCTCTAAATTAAAGTTTTGGCCGAAATTCCACTTTTTGGTTAAACAAATTGGTTTCGTTACCGGGAATCTGGTAATCTATTCTTTCTTAGCCTAACCTTTTTTGTTGCATCAACCATGTCAAACATTAATGACAACACCCAAGGAAACCAAGAAAACCAACAACTCCAGGGAAATCCACAGGATAATCACATCCCGGTCCCTTCTCCACAAAGCTCCCCTCGGTGGTCTCGAGAAGGCACTCCTGATGGATCTCATGCAAATGGAAACGCACAATTTGAAAATGATAAAGTTGTCAATGAAACCTTGCAAAAACTAATTGCTCAACAGGTCAATAAAGCTCTTGAGGCCTTTGTTAGCCAGTTACCTGTCGCACCCACAACACCCACTCCAAATGACAACACTTTGGAGAACCCTCATTCTGGGCTTGCCAATTCAGGCAGTGTGGAATCCCCACCGAGTCACGAGATGGAGAACTAGGTAACTTAGTCAATTCTGATTTACAAAATTTAGTACTAACATTGCAGAAACAGCTCAAGGAGCAAAGTGACCGCATAGAGCAAATACCTGGAGTACCGCCCGTAATCAAAGGGATAGATATGGATAAATATTCACAACAACCCTGGAAGCCAAGTGATACTCACCTCCTAATTCCAATGAAATTCAAAATGCCTGATATTCCAAAATACGATGGAACAACTGATCCACGAGACCACGTGACTGCATTCACAACAGGCGTAAAAGGCAACGACTTGACCAAACAGGAAATTGAATCAATACTAGTCAAAAAATTTGTTGAAACACTCACTAAGGGAGCGTTAATATGGTATTCTCTTTTACCTGAAAATTCCATAAATTCTTTTGCTGAGCTTGCAGATTCATTTATTAAAGCACACTTGGGAGCTCAAAAAGTCGAAAAAAGAATGGAAGATATTTTCAAAATCAAGCAAGGGGACTCAGAATTGCTTAGGGAGTTCGTGGATAGGTTCCAGCGTGAAAGAATGACGTTACTGTGCGTACCTAACAATTGGGCAGATATAGCCTTCACTAGTAATTTGAATGAAAAAAGCTCTGAAGCCACGAGGCGACTTAAGGAAAGTCTTCGTGAATTCCCAACAACAACGTGGAATGACGTTTACAACAGGTATAGCACGAAGCTAAGGATAGAAGAGGATATTATCTCACGATCTCAAAAGAAGAAAAGGTGAGTTTGTTACGGGCGGAAACCGAAAAAAGGCCCGGTAAAAACAGGTACGAACCATATATAGGTCCAGTAGAAAAAGATTCACGGTAAAAACAGGACAATCCAAGGTACGATCATAGGTCAAGGAATAGAGAGTCGGGCTCGTCATCAAGATTTGGAAATGATCGAAACGCGCGAGACTCACGTGATAATGATAGAAACTTGAAAGCAAGATTTGGCGGTTATAATTTTAATGTAAGCACTTCCGAGCTCGTAGTTGTTTTAAGAAGCATGAATGATAAGGTACAGTGGCCAAAAGAAATGAGATCGAATCCAAACAGGCGCAACCCTGATCACTGGTGCGAATTTCACAACGATCACGGGCATAAAATGACAGACTGTAGGTTGCTACAAGGTGAAATTGATCATCTATGTAAGCAATCATACATGAAGAATAGGCAGGAGCCTCCAAAACCACCTTCATCCAAAATGACCGTTAATGTCATAAGTGGAGGTGAAGACATCAATGGTGTGACGTACACAACAACCAATAAAGTTTTCAAAGTCACAATTACCCACGGGAAGCGGGTGCGACATGTCTTAGAGGAAGAAAGTATTATGTTTGATGATGCTGATGCGGATGACATATTATCCCCACATAACGATGCACTGGTAATATCTCTACTTGTACATGATACTAATGTGAAACGAGTTTTGATTGATCCAGGTAGTTCCGTGAACATTATTCTGCTAAGAGTACTACGCGAGATGCAAGCTGAAGATAAATTAATACCAAAGGAGCATGCTCTATCTGGATTTGACAATTCCAGCGTAGTGACGAAATGGGAGGTAATACTTACTACATTCACAGAAGAAGTTGTCAAAGATACAAAGTTTCAGGTGGTAGATATGGATATGACTTACAATATGATCCTTGGGAGACCATGGATCCACGAGATGGATGTCAATCCGTCAAGCTTGCACCAAGTTATTAAATTTCAATCACCATGGGGAATATGTCAAATCCGTGGGGATCAACATACATCCAGGAGAATCAACTCTGTAGCAGATTCAAGTACGGGAAACGAAGAAAAATAGCAATTACAGAATCCAGTTGAGGGTACCACAACACAAACCTCAACTGAACAAGGACGAACAGACGTGGACTCAAGGCCAGATGTCATTCAAGAACCAGAGAAAAATGAAAAGATCAAAACAACGATTGAAGAACTAGAAGCTGTAATATTATTTGCACAATGGCCTGAAAGGAAAGTCTACGTAGGGGCCAATCTAAGCCAAGACATGAAAGGTAAGTTGATTGAATTTTTAAAAACTAACGTGGATTGTTTTGCTTGGTCCCACTCTGATATG